TTCCAGCTATTCCTGATCTCATTTTATTTACCTGTCACATGCAGTTATTCCATTCCTTGTATTTCCAACATGGTCACTTACTTTGTTTTCACTGTGATATTTCACAAATACTCAAAGCAGACTTTGCCATTTCTGTATTAATAATAAGATGTTATTATTTTATTGTGAAAAGGTCAGTTGTAACCTTTACCATAAATATTTTATAACCAAGCACATTTTCCTGTCATTTGTCTTTTTCTTTCTTTTCTCTCCCTGGTTTCTACTTTTTCAGGAAGGTGAATAAATGCTACAGAGGCCGTTCCTGTCCAATCATCGTTCACTGCGGGTAAGACTGAAAGGAAGATACTCTGGTGTTTGTAGGATCACAGATTTCTGTGGAACAACAGAAATCGCAGATATACATGTGAATTTTCTGCTTAAAGGGTATTTTAAAGAAAAATACTTTGTAAGATCATGTTTGCGTTTCTGTCACTCCCACAGTGATGGCACTGGCAGGACTGGCACGTATATCCTTATTGACATGGTGCTGAACCGCATGGCCAAGGGTGAGTCAGTTAAAACAAAATCATTACCCAGAAACATTACATCCATACCTAATCTTTATGACTTACAGCCCACAGATGATGCAGTGAGAGAGTTTGAGAAGTCAAATCTTTAATTGGTCTGAGTCATATTACAGTTGCATTTCCTATCAACTACAGCAGAGGGTGCTATAGTTACAAGCTGCTTGTTGAAAGAAATTAGGTACTGGTAGTTCAGACTATATTTTAATAATTACAAACTTAATCATATGTGCATACTTTTTCAGTATTTCTTGAGCTGAGTGGTTTAGCAACTTAACTGGAATCTTGTAGAAAGAGTCAGGAAACTTGAAATGCCATTCTATACCATTCAAAGTCTTATTTTACTGAAACTAATTTCAGCTGGGTTGCATTATCTTTCCCCCTTTTTTTTCTTGCAGTTGTCAGAATCTGTTTTTGTTTATCAGACATGGTTGCTGTCTGTTTAGACTTCAACCTCAAATGAGACATTGACCTTTTCACTGTCTCTTGTCAGTTCTATCACAATAGTTCTTCACAAATAACCTCAACAGATCTATTTTGTGAATTTTCTACATCCATATCATCTGAAAATAGCAGATTTAGATTGATGGAGATCAGAAAAAAACTATTAGTGATGCTGCTACTATTCTTGATGACATTAGGAGTGAAGGAGATCGACATTGCAGCCACACTGGAGCACATCAGAGACCAGAGACCTGGCCTAGTCCGCACCAAGGTACATAGCGTCCATTGTTTGTGTGCATATTTTTTTCAGTATATTTTTTTCTAGTCTTCAGATTGTGCATCATTACCCAAATGCCTCACTTCCCTGCTCTTCCTAATTAGGACCAGTTTGAGTTTGCCCTGACGGCGGTAGCTGAGGAGGTGAATGCCATTTTGAAAGCCCTGCCACAGTGAGATGCAGCTGCTGATGGATACAATGACATGCAGACACAAAAGAATACACGCTCCAGTGGACACACTTGTATGATTCAGTCATGTATGATCATTACTGTACATAAAAATCTGCTTGGCCACAGTGGAGCTATTATTGCTCTTGCTTTTTTCCCTGCTGACTCATTGTCTGGGTGTTTAAAACATTTTGGAATCAAATTTTATTTTGAGGATTTTTTTTTCCAGGAAGCAAAAGGAAAGAGAATCAAAGTTCTTTCCAATTAGAGCAAGATTCGATTTTTCTATTAGTATCTTAAGTTTCTAATTACACATGGACTCGGTTATCAGTCGGGAATTTAACAGAAAACCTTGGTGCCTGTGTGAATCCAGATGAATATGGGATAAGCGTGGTCATGCTGTCAGACAAAATAGTTATCTTACACTCATCTGATTAAATTGTTACTGGACATTATTACCTCAAATGATCAGCCAACATAAAAGGAATTTATGACCAACACAGGGTTTGTATTGGCTGCTCTGGTGAACATATAAATTGGACCAAAGTTATAATACTGTCGAACCCCCTGTCAAAACGTATCAAATATTTATGGCTGCCATCCCAGTTAAACATGGTGTGGTTGTTCTCCGATGTAACTTTGAATGTGTTGTTATTCATGTCCATTTGAATACTGTATTCTTTTGTCAAGTGTGTTTTTATTTCTGAGGCGTGTCTTTTTTGCCTTGAAAACATGATCGTTTGCTTTCAGCGCTGGTCGTTTCGTAATGGATGTTCGACTTGACCATGAACTACCTTCTCGCCGTCTCCCTTTCTGCACACAAAGCAACTTTGCGTTCTTCTATTGTCTTACTCAGTGTACGACCTTGTGATTCGTGTAAATAATTCATTCTGATGATTGTGTTTATTTCATGTAGCAGACCGACAGAAAATATCTATAAAAATGTATTTTTGACTTGACCTAAATAAATTTGTGATGTGATGCAGCAGAAAACAAACTCTAATGCCTTCAGTGTTCTCTGTTTTCTGGATTGCTGATTCTACCATGACTGCAAGATAGCCACTGTGATATAATCCATCATCAAGCACCATAATGAAGCCTTGCGCATCTTGACTCACTAACTTGGCTTTTGGAAACAAGATGTGATGAGCTAGAGTGATCTGAGTGAGAAACCAAGGGCCCACCCTACCACCCTACAGTATAGCAGCCTGCTTTATCCCTTTTTTAACATCAACAGACACCATTAACACTTGAAACTAGCAATTCAGATCATTAGAAAAGTTCTTACTATGGTCGCAAATTATAGGAGCAGTATGATCATTTTTTCAAAGACATCAATACAATTGGACATTTTTCTATTAAACCAGAGGTGTCACTCCCTCCTGGCAATTACAAAGAATGCAGTTTGTGTTGCACTTTACTTTTTTGACCCTAAGCTACATCAAAATTTTATATATGTTCTATGGGTTAAAGGATTTTTATCTTATAACAACAAACACGAGTTAAAGATAAACGTATTACAACTTTTTACCTCAACTTTATGGTTTTATCTTAACTGTTAGACAGCCTTAATCTTGCCACAAAGACGCTACCACAAACTGAGAAAAAAAAGTCAGCAGGAAAATCTTTATTTTCTCTGCTTCATGTGTTTTACAAGAACTTTCTTTTTGCTTTGTGCACTGTTTTCATATTTATTAGAAACATGATGATTTGATGAAGAGATGATTGTAACTACTGTACCTCCTTAGAGTTTTCAGTCTTTTGTTCCACAATGAGCTACATACACACATGCACTCAGAGACACAAACATATTAAATACATATATCTTATAAGTGTCATTCAGCAGGTAGGAGCCATGGTGGGCAGAGATAGAAAAGTGCATCATGGGATATAATCTTTGACCTGTAAGAATAGATGTACAAGGACAGGTTATACTTAATCAGATATGCAAGTAGGCATCATCTGATCTCATCTACTTGGAGTTTAGGGGGCAGGAGAAGGAATGGGTGCCTCAGATTCACACTGGTTCTTTACCTCAGGGCAGGGCAAGGGCACAGAGCAGCGTGAGCCAATCAGGTTAGGTTGTGAAGGCCTCGAAGTCTGAGTCTGAAACAGGAAGCATGAATCGTAAGAGAAACGAACAAGTATTCAAACTTATGTCCCAACAATATGATACTAGATGTGTTTGCTACATAACAGATGAAAAGTAATGTGTATGTGATCCAGCACATTTAAACATTAACACCAACAAGACTGAATAACCTGATCCAAGGAAGTCGTAAGTGCAGATAAACTAAATTAAAAATACAATAAAATAAAAACACACAACAGTCTATGGGACTTAATTACTGTTTTAGTTTAAAACACAATGACTAATGATGCCCTTGCCCCTGTTACATATCTTATAACAAATGGTGCATTATGCCACTCGCATAATAAGGGCTATACTGAAAATATAAGCTCCTGATCTAAACTTAATCAAGACACACAGAAACAGTTAACCACATACATGTGCAGTTTCCAAATCAGTAAAAGCAGGAAGTAGTTTTTAATGCATAATTCTGTTGTCTTATAATGTTTAAGGGTCCTGAGAACTGAAAATAATCCTTCAGATTTCCATGACTATATAATTATCAAACAGTCATCATACTGTATCATCATTTTGCACTAGCATGAATTTAGTGTAAATTAGTGGAAAATACGTGGCTGCCATATTCTAAAAAAAATAAAATATTCCAAATTATCTTGTGGCACAATCTTTATTCGTTAATTCCTTTTTAACAATGTGAAAATAAAAAGAACATCAACATGTGAGTAATCAGTAACAATTAATACAGGCTGATATATTTATTAAAGTTTTCATTTTCCTATTTCACTTTTAGTCTTCGCCGGTGCTGACAGCTATACTTTCAAGTGAAAACAAAACTCATGCAATCTATGATAAATGAGGCACTCGTGAAAAATATGTGTCAATATAAATTACAAACATAAAGCATAAAACACACCAGGGCAAAGGGACACTGCCTGTAATTAGAAACTCATTGAGACAGGCATGTGTCTTTTTTTTAATGCATATTACAACATAACACTGGCAGCAGTAATTAGTTTAACATCTGCATGATTTGGCACCAGCATGATTTTCTTTTGCTTTCAGCTTTGCCCTGCAGCAACAACCACATTTAAAACATTTCTTAGTGTTGCACTTAAAACATTGGCAGTATCTTCATGTTACTTGAGATCTACAAAAAAGGCATATTTGAGTTTTATGCATGAGCTCCAACACTAACTATCTTCAGTGACTCCGTCCTGTGACTGTCTCACAGACACAAACATGCAGCCCAACAAAATCAATATTTGCGGGACATGAGCTGGATAAACTATTTCAGTTACCATTCACATTAAACCCAACTTTAGTAGCAGCTGACTGATTGTCTAACTGAAATTTAATTGTAGAAAACTAGTCTGTTTATTCCTATTTACTTTTGTCTACTTTCGTTAATTATTAAGACATATAATTTAATCAAAGGTTTTTTGGGGGAACTTTTTAAAAAAAAGTATTTAAGCCTGAAAGCTGGGAAGCAGTGCAGGAGGGAAAGTCATCAAGTCACCCCTAAAGTACAGTGTTTGTAATTTTGCACACAAGGGAGCTCATCTGGAGTTGGCTGAGGTTTAATATTTCGCTCAGGGAGCATGTAAACAAATGTTCTTTGATCATTTAGCTATTATACATCCTGTAACCGGATGCAATAATACAACATTTTTAAAAATCCAGGACAGGTAACACACTGCCGTCACAATCATTGTCACTTTCTTCTTCCTCCAATCACTTGACAACACTCTCAGTCACATCTACTGCAGGAGGACCAAGGAGAATCCAAAAACTGATTTATCTTTATAATTTGTTGATAAAGCTTGGCACGTTTGCATCGATAATGTAAGAATAGCAAACACATAAGTAGTTAACATGTACAAAGACTTAACAATCATTATTTGTAGCTGTTTCAGTCACAATACTGCGATTTGTCCTTTAACTTAATAAAGTGCTTTCCCCAAACTATAATCTAAAATCTGATTACAATTTTAATGCTATTTGGGTAAAAGTGCAGGACCAACATATGATAAACTTGGATTTAATGATACACGAGCACCTCCCTACTTCAACTTTCCAACAACAAGATAGTCAAAGTGTGTGAGCATGTGCTTCACCTAACTACTTATTGCTTCATACTTATTCTGGACATCATAACAAGCTGACTGAGAAACACTGGTCTTCAGTTAAAAGTTGTTTATGTGGCAACCTGGAAATAAACCACAAAAAGTTCTGTGGGCTACCTTTGATTTTCGTGTGGCACAGTTGTGCAACATTCCCACTGCCAGAGAGTCTGAATGAGAAAATTCTATGGCAAGGTCTCAGCTGACTCAAACACAGAAAGAGCTACACAGAACGACATGCACACACAAACACCACCACACACACTCAATTTTAGACCTTCACTGACATAATGTATTCTGAAAAAACTTACACAAACCTCAAAATTCCCAAATATATTCCTAACTCCAGGTTTGGCTTTAAACCTAAACTCAAACCTTAAATTCTAAAAGGCCTTTCAAGCTTTGTTTTAGAGTTACTTAAACTGGTCCTCACTCCTGCTGTGACAAAACAAATTTCCCACGTGTGGGACTAATAAAGGTTATCTTATCTTATCTTATCTTATCTTATCTTATCTTATCTTATCTTATATATACACAACAGATCTAAATCATCACTTAATTCCAATTCATCAGTCTATGCAAATATCTGGCAAATTCGCGTTCACGAGCAATCCTCCACACCAGCTTGCACCCAAATGCAAAAACAATTTAAATGCCTGTGATAATGTAGAAACGTAACCACAAATCGTATCTTTAGTGTGTTCCTTTGGAGGAATGTGAAGCCTTGTCATCAGTATAGGCACTGTCTCAAATAAAGATCTGCTTAATTCACATTACATTAGAGCTGGCTGAAGGCAAAACACTGAGGTCAGTATAATAAGGCAACCCAAAGAAAGTAAACCTACAAAAACACATCATTAGGAGACAACACACCCACACTTCTTTTTCTTTTTCACGCTGCAATCACTTTTTATCACAGGTTTAAACTTATCCTCACTGCACTGGCTTAGGGGTGTAGTGCTGGCAGTTGTGGATGACTCAGGGGAGGAGCCTAGCTCCACTGTACCCTTTGCCACACTTTTGCATCCATCTCCAGCTACTGAACCCAATTTTATCTCTTTACATTTCTGCCCTGCAACAACCTCTTCCCTGCTCTGTACATTCAAATGCTTTGCCTTAGCAATCCCGCCATCTAAACGGCCCCCAGTTTTGTCACTGACAGCTCTGCCCCCACCCCGAGCACCTGATATGTAGTCGTTAGCAGCAGCTCTCTGCTGGGCTTCCATTTCTGACAGGCTGCATGCCAAAGCCATCTGTAGGTCTTCATCTTCCTCATCATCCTCACTGCCTCCCGCAACCCCGTAGTGGTAGAATGGGGCTGAGCTAAATGAACGATGCGTGGGTGAAGTGTAAGGGCTCAGGTGGGATCTGTCTGACTCAGCGGTTTTGTTCTGGAGTCGTGGCTTTGGAGTGGCCTGCTCCTCTCGTCGGCTCAGCTCCAGAGCAAGGGCCATTTCATCTTCCACACCTTCGATCAAAACAAAAACAACAAGACAGCTGTCTCACTGCACAATCAACACAAAGCAAAAACCTTAGACATACAGAAAAACACATAACCAAGCAAAAACTTCAGGTCAAGCGGTAATACAAAAACTAAAGCCAAGGTACATATAGTTAAACAAACTAAACCAATAACTAAAACTATGTGAAAAACATTTCCGCAGACTGAAAAAACATGATTAAGACTATAAAAGAAAAAATAAAACTAACTGAAATTATTTTATGAAAAATATCAAGGAAATATCCTTAGTATTTGTTAAACTTGTAAAATTACATTCATCGGTGCTGATGAGGCACTTATGAAGTTATTTATTGAGACTTCGGATGTCTACAAGACTAAGAGTTAATTGCTTTCAAAAGGTTCAGTGTTTTTATTGTAATATCTATACTAATTTTCCTGAAATTTTGCCTTTGGCACATGTCCTCAATTGAATATGATTAAACTAACACTGAAAGTCATAAAAACTAAACTAAAACTAAACCTTGTTAAAAATTAAACTAAACTTAAAAAGCAAACCTACTCTGGGAACTGACTCAAAAAAACCTGAATTAAAAATAACAAAAATATTAAAGATAAGAATAAGATCGATTAAATACAAACTGAAACCTCGTCTGTTTTTTAACACATTTCCCTGCTTGCATTGAAATCTTTTGAATAAGCAGCACTGCATTTTGACACAATTGTGGTTGTATTAGAAAAAGTTGACACTGAATTTGTGTTTTCAGGTTAAAGCAAATAAGCACCAGAAAAAAGTTGGGTTTTTTTTGTTTTTTTTGTTTTTTGTTTTTAATCTCAATTCATTTATTCAGTCAGCATTGTCTCACCATTAATTAGAACACTTTTCAACACACCATCCTCCTCAATCTCTATTCTTTCCTGCCCATTCTCCTTTATCCTGTAGGAAAGACAAATACAGACATAAGTGGAATTATTTAAAAGCCACCACCACTTCTAGTGCCTCTGTGTTTGTGCAAGTGCGTAACCAGTCTTAGGGCTGAAAAATTACAGCCAAAAAATATTTTGATTAACACTATAATCATGATTATCTACCACAATTACTCGCTTTCATTTTAGTGACACAAATACACTGCCACATAAAGATAAGAAGGCTTTCACATCTATGCTTTGGACTGTCTACAAGCCTTTGTAGACAGTCCCTTTGATTCATTTCAGAAGAAGAAGAATATAAACTGATAACGAGGGCACTGCTTTCACTTTGACATTGCACTATATTCCTGTTAATTAGGCTTACCCTCTGGCATTTTGCATACAGTGCAAGTTTTACCCCTTTAGAAAAACACAGATCTATAGAGAAACGAAATGAGACTGTGTTGGTATTTCCACTACATCTTTGTGAGCTTAAATAATATGCTGTATGCAATGTACAGCCTCACTTTTATGGATTTCTGAATTGATATTGGACAAGACATGTCATCAACCTCTACAATGCCTTTCAGGCTCTTCATGCAATTTTCATACTGCAGTGTGAATGCTGCATTTTTAGGTAGGTGTACACATTCGTTTTGTTGCTTTGTAGTTCCAACACAACTTTATGGTGCCCTTTGCATATGATTTGTTCTTTGTTCTAAATCTAAAGTATTCCCAAACAATAGATGACGATCTGCTTCTAGGGACAATCTATTGAGACAAATACAATTCAAATATGCACATATGCACTGCTCTTATTCAGCAACCACAGTCACATCAAGATAATTCTTAAAACACTGGAATGTGAAACTGTTTACTGGTGCTAAATTTAATATATTCTTCAATTAATTTTTCACGTTTTGCTTTGAAGATAATACACTTGAATATGTACTTCCTTTGCTGCATAATAGGAATTGATAAGGAATTCCATACTTCTTGGTGGTGGTGCGTTTTCCATTTATGATGCGAGTGGAAGTAGAAACTGATCTAAAGTTGCCCATCCCTCCACCCATGCTCTCCATCCCATCCAGACCACCCAAGGTAGTGGAGAAAGAGGAGAATTCAACTGTAGAGAGTCAAACAATCAAAAAGAGGAGAGGAAAGCAATATTAGTTTTTAATGTATCTAAACCATCTCCTGATATTAATTCTTTTAAGTATTTTTTTAAACTAACAAGTGAAACTCTTGATATTAACAATATCAAATATCATTAATCTGGCATTTGTTGATGACATACAGCGCAAAAAGTTATAGACCCTCTTTCTGTGAGACATTCCTGGCAACCACTGATGATAGAAACAGCTTATAATAGAAGTTTAACTGAGTAGAATTGCATTAATTACCAGTAAAGTAAAGCTGAAAGGAAAAACTACATGGGAAAATCCTCTTCAATCCTCTGCAAACAGTTTACTTATAATATTTACTTCTTTACCTCCTCCTGATGGAAAAGAGAAGAATCGCCCCGGGCTGAGACGAGACGATGAGCTTCCAAATGAGGAGAAGTCATCTGAGTGAGAGACAAAGACGTGCAAGTACATAAAAATACAACAGTAATGGACAATACCTCCCACCCAGTCCATGACGTGCTGGCCAGTCACAGGAGTGTGTTCAGAGACAGACTGAGATTACCCAAATGCACCACTAAATGAAGCAGGAAACAATTCCTGCATGTGGCTATCTGCCTGTACAGCTCTAATGTACAGTACATAGTGCAATAGTTACTCCATTTTGCAGTGAAAATAACAAATAGCAGTTTAGAGGTTTTACTGTTGAGTTTAGAGTAGAATGTCGACCATTTATATTTAATCTCTGTAATATTCTGGATATTTATTATTGAGCTACTCCTCTATATTCAAGCTATTTCTTATATTTGTAACTTTGGAATATATTGTAGCATTTAATTTAGTTCAGTTACAGTAGACCTAAGACAAATTACTCTCATCATATTTTTTTATTTTACGTCTAGACTGAATAAATAAATGTTAGTATTAGTTTCTGAACTAACAACAGATGAACCCCACCCCAATATATGTTTGACTTACCGAAGAAGCTGGCAAAGGGATCCTGTCCACCAAAGAATTCTCTGAACACCTCATCTGGGCTGCGGAATGTGAAGGTGAAGCCGGGCATTTCTGTAAAGTCTGAGCTGGAGGAACCTGAGAAACCAACATGTCACAGTCAGGAGCGAAAAGGAAAAATTAGGACAAACGTAAAGGAGAAGGAGCAAGTAGGAAGGGTAGGTAATAGTAGTAAGAAAATTACCCAAACACATTTTTTTCTTAAACTGTAGCAATTAGAAGATTGCTAATGATTACTATAATGGATGCAACAATATCACAGATTTTTTTATATATTTATACCTGTGTGTCGCATTCTGTCATTTCCATATCTGTCGTATGCATCACGTTTGCTCTCTGTCAAAAAGGAAAAAATTACCCACGGAAATCAATATCCGTACACATATACATCTACAGTATACCTTGTACATATTAGACCAGTTGTCATCTATGGTGACTTACTGTCAGACAGGACTTCATAGGCCTCAGCAACTTCTTTGAACTTTTTCTCTGCTTCCTCCTTGTTGTCTGGATTTTTGTCAGGATGCCATTTCAAGGCCAATTTCCGGTACCTGAAAACACAAACAAAATCAAACATCCATGCTTATATATAAATAACCACACACATAATGAAGTCTAGTTCTTAAACCTCTATCTATGAGATATGAGCTTATTTAGTGACATAATATGATAATACATTTTTGCCCTGAAAAGCAATTTTTTTTGGACTGAAATTAAACTCAAAGTTTGTCTAAAGTTTGTAAACTCTTAAAAAATAAACACACAAAAGCACATACTGGCAGTGGCCTCAGTTTTTCAGTGCTTACATAACCTTGCTATCTAAAGTAGGTTTTCATACTTCAAATATATCTTCAGATATATTTTTTTTACTCAAGTGAACTTTTTGTTACTTATGACTATATTTTCTAACACTTGAAATAGTCCCAGGATACTTACGCTTTCTTGATGTCATCCTGAGTGGCTGTTTTGGACACTCCCAAGATGCTATAGTAGTCCACCATGTCACCTCCTGTAACTCCTCAAAACACCACGCTTTGAAAGAAAAATACAAATACGAGTTTTGTTTGGTCAGAAATTAAAAGCACCAATGTGTGTGGATGTACAGCTTCTGCATCATTTAAAAAAATGCTCCTCTTGACTAAAAAAAAACTTTTTTATCTATGGAACCAAGTAGATTTTAAATAATGCTTAATCACCATTGTAGTGGAGGTTATATGAGCTCAATGGATCTATTGGAAACAGTAAAACGACTCTAAAACATGTATTTAGAAGCTGGAAAATTATATCCCCCTAAATTTACTTAAATTATGATTTCACTAAGACAGTGCTGCTCAAACTGTTCAACAGCTGTATTACTGTAGGACTCATGAGTTGAACTACACTGAGTTTAAAGCTACATTAGTTTTAAGAATGCTTTTTAACTTTAGTTAAGTATTATTAATCAGCACTTTAAAGCTAGAATATGACATTAGTGTGGAAGCAGTATGGTTAGTAATGTTTTCATTTTTAACTAAACAATTAGCAACTTGTATGTGATGCATGCATAAAAGGACAGAAACTTTAATCTATAGATATTTTAAAGCCAAATACATTCTCTTAACTAGTCTAAAAAAAACTCCTTTAGGTCCTTTTATAATATGAAATTTCCAACAAATATATTGAGTTTGAAAGAGTAAATAAAAACCTAATCAGCAGACTTCACTGAATCATAAATTTACCTATTATAAACTACTTCAGAACGGTCACATGAAAGCATCAAGCCTGTTATCTTAAAAAAAAAAAAAAGGATCTTGGCACAGTCAGCTGTTCTATAATAGCCACAGACGACACCCTAACCGAGATGCCAGTCTCATTTGTAATCGTTTCGGGGCTGAAGGGGACTTCCGAACTGAGGTGAAACAACTAAATCTAACTTTCTTTGCCCCTTCAGGATGAGCCATGCACTCATACAAGCCTCATTACTATGTTATTTCTAGCGCCAAGGCATTTGTCAACTGCTGCAGTGCTGACATGACTGCAGGCCTTATAGACGCTTAAATACAGGGACAGATGAACTTGGAGGCACAGGTGCTGTGCTATTCGAGTATTGACATTAGGGCACAATTAACATCATTTGGTATTTCGGTAGCACATCTCCTTTTATGGTAAAGTTGGACATCTGTCATAAATTGCAGCACCTATTTGGATAGGCACAAGTTGTTACGCCTAACCTCGGCAATGGACCTACCTTAGGAGTGTTTTGGCCTAATGAGTGAGCAGTTTAGCCGTCTGTCCACCAGTTTGGAGCGACAATGAATTAGTTGTTATAGCGGTCCTTCTGGACTACACTCCCCCTCTTTTTCTTCTCCTTTGTTGACAGCCGTACAGGCACCTCCCCTGTTTTCGGCCTGTTTCTTCACCGCAAATATTTTCCACCAAGCCAATATGACTGTAACCTAGCGTTAGGGTCTGCGCTGAAGTCCCCACCGAGATAGCATGCGCGCAGTCAGCTGTGTTTGTCCCTAGTGCTCCTCTGCCCCACGCGCTACGTCACCGCGAGCGCCTAGAAAATGCCAGCGTTTGGAAACGTCACCGGGCCCGCCCTGCATGCCTCAGCGCCCGCCTGTTGCTCCGTGATAATGCTTTAACCTCTAAACATAAACATATGCCAAAACCTAGAAACTATTTTTTCTTTTTAAATATAGATCACCCAATCATCGCAGAAATTACTAAATAATTTACAGTCGAGCGGGGAAACGAGGAAACGATTTTACTACAGTCCAGTTGTAATTCTGACATCCCGCTATACTTTCTTATTAGTAGGTAATCATATAGGTAGATTATAGAAAGTAGGTTTCCAGTTTAGCACGTGATTAATCGGTAGAGTCATTGATCTGGATCACACCATGAGGACATCATGTAATATCAGAGTTATGTGGACTGCTCAGCTTTGTGTAATCAAACCTCCTAGGCCATGTTATGAATAGTAAAGTGTAGAAGACCGCCTCCTGGTGGGCAGATGGGTACTGCAGGTGGGATGTCAAAGAAAGAGATCTAGATATTTTTTTAAGTGAATATTGTAAATAAGAGTGAAAAAATATATGAAACTTTTAGGACTTGATATTGGCATTTAAAATAGTTTAATGAATAAATTAGATTAATTTTGTAATTTAAGTTATTTGTTAATCTGATGTCTGGTTTTTGGTAATCTGATCTTTGATGGGGGACCTTGGATCGTAATTGAAGTGGGCTCGACTTCACATCAAATCAATTTGTTTAGGAGAATAAATTACACAGGAAAATAATTTGGTCCAATATAAGACTATTATGTTGATCGGAGGACATAAAAACTTGAAGGGCAGACAATTTCACCTACACCAACCTCGACTTTTTACCCGTGTCCCTTTGTTTTCACCTGCTGGCCTAAGGAAAAAGTACAGGAAGCAGGAGTAAATCGTAAACCCCTACTGGTCACTCAGCTTGGCATGAAGAGAAGCAGGAAACTGAACAGAGCCTGGAATTTCTTTTCTAAAAGTGAAGTGGAGCCACCCAGAAACATGGGAAGAAAAACAAAAACAGGATTGTGTATATCAAGTTTAAAAAGAAGTATATGATAAATTATGTAATGTGTCAAAACAGCGTTTCAGATGTCTCTGGATTTGCTAATACTACCTCTCACCATAATGCTGATAAAATATCTTCTTCCACTTTGAAAGCCCGAAACTTGTTAAAAATAAATACCGGTATCTATAATTGATAACTTCAATTATTAGCATTTGAACTAGAAAAGTACTCAACTATTGCAGTATTACACACTTAAGTTATACAGTTGCTAACATAGCCTGGTTAAGCAGATCAAGAATGTCCACAACTTCACACGACACTTTTGAGAACTTTTATTGACAATACTGACGAATCACCACATGTGTGGATTTTGGTGGGAATGTGTTACTTTCACAACATTTGGAATGCGTGATGATGTTTGATTCTTCAGTATTCTTCTCCCTCTTCATCCTCCTCTCCCACGCTGTCAGTGCCCACCTCTTCATAATCCTTCTCCAGAGCAGCCATATCTTCTCTGGCCTCTGAGAACTCTCCTTCCTCCATGCCCTCCCCAACATACCAGTGAACAAAGGCTCTCTTGGCGTACATCAGGTCAAACTTGTGGTCCAGTCGGGCCCAGGCCTCAGCGATGGCTGTGGTGTTGCTTAGCATACACACAGCCCTCTGCACCTTGGCCAGGTCTCCACCAGGAACCACAGTTGGAGGCTGGTAGTTGATACCCACCTTGAAGCCAGTGGGGCACCAGTCCACAAACTGAATGGTGCGTTTGGTCTTGATGGCTGCGATAGCAGAGTTGACATCTTTGGGCACCACATCACCACGATACAGCAGACAGCAGGCCATGTATTTACCATGACGAGGATCACACTTCACCATTTGATTAGCTGGTTCAAAGCAGGCATTGGTGATGTCAGCTACTGACAGCTGCTCATGGTAGGCTTTCTCAGCAGAGATGACAGGGGCATAGGTGGCCAGAGGGAAGTGGATACGAGGGTAAGGCACCAAGTTGGTCTGGAACTCTGTCAGGTCAACATTCAGAGCTCCATCGAAACGAAGTGAGGCTGTAATTGAGGACACAATCTGGCCAATCAGCCTGTTAAGGTTGGTGTAGGTGGGTCTTTCAATGTCAAGGTTCCTGCGGCAGATGTCATAGATGGCCTCATTGTCCACCATGAAGGCACAGTCGGAGTGCTCCAGGGTGGTGTGGGTGGTCAGGATGGAGTTGTACGGCTCCACCACTGCCGTGGAAACCTGGGGGGCTGGGTAAACAGCAAATTCGAGCTTTGATTTTTTCCCATAATCAACAGAGAGCCTCTCCATCAGGAGGGAGGTGAAACCAGAGCCAGTGCCTCCACCAAAAGAGTGGAAGATGAGAAATCCCTGCAGGCCAGTGCACTGATCAGCCTGAAAATGTATTAGTTCATTATTATTAAAACCCTTAACTCATTTAGTTGAACAAAATGTTTAATACACTCCAAATATATAGCTTTGACACTGTCAAAGTCTCACCAGTTTACGTGTCCTGTCCAGGACCAGATCTATGATCTCTTTGCCGATGGTGTAGTGGCCACGGGCATAGTTGTTGGCAGCGTCCTCCTTTCCTGTAATCAGCTGCTCAGGGTGGAAAAGCTGACGATAGGTTCCTGTACGCACCTCATCTGCAAGAAACAGGAAGAAAAAAAACGTTAGGAGTGCACGAGCTAGTGTCCTGTATTCTTGCATCAAATTAAGAGGAGTCCCTTTATTTTGCAGACAGTGACAGTTTAGAAATAACAACAAAACAAAACAACAAAAAACAAAAAAAAAAAACACAATGACAATTTGCAAGAAAATGAAATTTAACCCAAACATCTGGAGTCATTTTTCTTTGTTTACATCCATCTTATCAGTTTTCAGATTTGCCATGACAATATATGCAAGTACTTGTTTATTTGCACGTTACTGACCTATGACAGTTGGTTCCAGGTCAACAAAGATTGCTCTGGGGACATGCTTTCCTGCCCCCGTCTCACTGAAGAAGGTGTTGAAGGAGTCATCACCTCCCCCGAGAGTTTTGTCAGAGGGCATCTGTCCATCTGGCTGGATCCCATGTTCCAGGCAGTACAGCTCCCAGCATGCATTGCCCATCTGGGCTCCAGCTTGGCCAACGTGCATGGAAATACACTCACGCTGGGGGAGGGGGAAAAAATTAGACAAAGCAAGTTTATGTACACATGTACTGCCTGACACCAGTTATCATATTTTGAACTAGCTATGACTGCTGAAAGGCACAGCAATATCTGGGGCACTTATTTAATGAGTACTAATGGGGGTGGGTGGGCAGGGGGACTTATAGGAGTGTATACTGTTAGAGATCCTTAGTCTACCCCCCATTAATTTACAAGACAATGTTCAATTTGTGAAAAGGAAATACCTCAGTAAGGAGAGAAAGCTTGCTTACTGAAAAGTGTATCAGAACACTAATGTTTAAGCTTTCAGTGGTGCATATAATACAAGCAACGCAGTGTCTGAACTCTGGGTTTTTAACAGTTGAATGGACAGGATATACAGTTAATAACTGCAAGCTCCTCATTTGCCTAAAGGATCGTTTTATAACTTGGGGGAGGGAAAAAAAAAGGCAACATACAATCCTGTATATAGCAAACAGGAAGGTCATGCATCAAGAAGAAAACCTTACCCCCACCTCTTAATCCTGAATCTCCTCCCTTTCCTCATCCCTCCCCATTTTGTGTCTCCCCTCCCCTATCCTGTCCGGCTCCATAGCGCCGTGTAACGGGAAGGGATGACTGTCTCACCCTCTCTTTCTCTCCACATCCTTCAACCCTAAAATTCTTAACAGCTGCAAAATGGCAGCGAACTAACTCTCACTTGTAGGCCAGACCACTCCTCTTTTTCCCTGTTCATTTTAATCCATCCCCCACTGCCACGATTACCCTGCTCACTACTTTGTAGTTGTGAAAACAGTATCCTGTGCTTGTTTAGGAACTAAAGACTTTATATATTTTCTCTTTTTATACTAAAAGCTCTGCATTGAGGTTTGAAAAGGACAACAGTTCAACTCATTGTCTGATCTGACCTAGATTTCCCAAGAGTACAAAAATGACTTCTCCTTTAGTCAAACGCAAGTACACTAGTGCATTGTTCTCACCGAATTCTCAGGCAAGCCCTAAAAAAAAAAAAAGTTCTGTATAAATTTAGCTCAAAAGTATGATCACTTAATATAATCTGATTTTAAGTAAACTCCCACACAACACTGAAGACTTGAAGCATTAAAAAAAAAAAAGCCTAGATATTTAACCCATGCAACAGAAACAAAGGAGTAAGGAGGGGAGAGAGAATGAAAATTTCAAGGCTACGTCATCAGCCAGACAGTTACTCACCATTTTGTCTGCTTGTCCTTCGACCGACGTTGAGGATTCAGACACAAGGCAGAAGTGCAGAAAAAAGGGAGACTCAGAGTTTATATAGAGAAGGATGTGGAGGGGGCAGGCAGGAAACCACAGCAGGCAGCTGCATAGCTCATTTGTGGGAGGGAACAGCAGTTAGAGGGGGGGGGAGAGGGAAGTCCCTAATACGTATTTTAATGGCATATCTCCTTACATTTATCTACACAAGATCATTATGAAAAACATTTTTTTCTTACTGTTATATACACCTCACTCCCCTTCTGACTTTCCTGTGTTCTCTTTCCTTTCCCCCGTTTGTTTTCTCTGCATGCCACGTCTCTGTCTGTGTGTGTAGCAGGTGTGGCTCGTTACGTTTCCCAGATCTTCTGTAATCATTGTGCACACCTTTGATCGCATCAGTCCACTAACCAGCAGTCTGTCTGATGACTATCTATAAGAGTCATTCGTTGTCAGAGCTTTCTAGTAGATATAGTATCCCACATATTTTGTTCTAGTTTAGTTTAGCTTTCTTCACTAATTACTTCTTTGTTTTGTTCTAACTCATATCTCTTTTCTCTGGATCTGTCCACTCATCTAAGCCAGAAAAGCTTCCCTCAACAGCTCCCCTTCAGACACCATCATCAGCCTGTCTACAGTCTTTGCTGCTTCTTCTTCTTCTTTTTTCTTTTTTTTTAAAAACAATTTTCCACCTACTTCTTTTTCTCAGTGTGCTTGTGTCTGTTTGCAATGGCACCATTTAGAGTTTCAAAATTAGTTAGATTTTTTTTTAACACATAACTTAAATGAGCTGATTATATTGCAGCATGCAAATACTCCACCCCCACACATTTCTTAACATACATATACTATAACAAAATCAGTAGACAAGGAGATTGATAATGCTATTTTATGCAGTCATCTGCACCCACACACACACAAAGACTTGTCTGTGTTGAACCACTAAATAAATAATCATGCGAGATTACTCTAGCAAAATGGAAAGACTGACATGTTTATTTGGGTTATTATATGTAAAAGGAAAATGCTTTAATGGTAACAAAAATAGTGATGAGAAGTAAACATTCATACAAACAATCAAGTAAGATAATCCAAAGTTCATCAAATATAATAATATGGAACACAAAGAAACTTCAGCGTGGTGATTACAATAATGTATCACAGATTGTGAAAAGATTAAAAAAGAGAGTTTCCAAGAAATGTAGAGCTCAGTTTTAATGCAGCTTTTCAGCCACTCTGTTTGAATCATAGTGCAGTGATTCATACAAAACGGAACTGGGATTCTATTGTTGCTGCAGGCTATGGTCTGAGTATGAGCTACACAAGCAACACCAGCCAGAGTCCGTCGTGTTTTTTTTTTCTCTTGCGTTAATTCTCAGAGTCACAGCTGAATGGTTTAAAGAAATTGACATAGGAGCCCTTTCATAGCTTGCATTCCTCATGGGAGAGGATAGTGGGGGGAGGTGCAAGAGAGAGAGAGAGAGAGAGAGAGAGAGAGAGCGTGTTTAAAGCAGGCAGAAACCAGAGAAAGAAACTATCTTAAAACACCAAAAGCACATTGTACTCTTTTGCTATGAATATAAACACTTTTTTAAATGGCACTGTGATAAGAGAAATGTAAAAAAAAATTTGAAATGTTTACATGTTCAACTAAGGTTTTAGATTTGGTTTGATTTGTAAATTTGCCATGGTACTCAGCACACAGTGAAAGATATGTTATTTTGGTCTGTTTTTGTGAAATATGGAGTATTAAAATTGTTCACAATTTGGTCACACAAA